CAGTGAGCAACTTTGAGGAATGAGGAACTATCTCCCTAAAGAGCAGGCTTGCTTATTTCCTGCTGTGAAAGGGGTCAGTTCCCCAAGCTCAGTGTTCCCCTAGATGCCACACAAACCCACAGCATCCACCAGGGCCCTCCACATTGCCCCCGTGGAGGACAAGGGGACAGGGGGACAAGGGAGTCAATATAAACATGCTGCCTAGGCTGCGCGCTGTGCCATGGGTAATAAAGTCCTTTGTCTGTGACCCAGGAGTCTCATCTTCACCAGCATGCATGAAACAGTAAGAGGCAAGTTATTCGCACATCGGCAGGGAAAATTCAAATGCCAGGCCCTGACAGTTCTGGCAATGAGGACAGGATGCTTATAAACATGACTTTCTGGAAGAGGAAGGACAAGGACCTTATGGACCAGATTAGGGGATATGAAAAGACTCCTTGGCATATGTTAGTAGATTCTCTCACCCAGATGGTGGGTGGCAGGGAGAGGGTAGATAAGGAGCTCACACTGTCCTACCTGTTAATGAGGTTAAGCAGCAAGAGGTGGGATTGAAACAAGTCACTCAAACGGTGCTTCGTTTCTTGCTCATCTCCTCCATGCAGGAGGAGGAAGGGATGTTAGAACAAGGGGGCAGCAAGCCCCGCAGCCACACCCAGAAGGCAGCATGGATGTGGCTGCTGAATCAAAGAATCTCCAAAGCTGAAATACATAGTATCAGCCATCATGTTTGATACAGAGCTTCAGGGTGACCCCAAAACACTACAAGGTATTTGGCTAAGCCCCACAGGTAGCCACTGGAATCCAAAGTGGATGCAAAGCCTTGCTCACTGGCACAGGCTTGCTCTCTCCCTTGTGTTCCCCAATCCTTCTATTCCCTCTCTACTCCACCTTCGACTGCTTTTATTTAATTTATTAATTTCTTGAGATAGGGTCTTGCTTTGTCACCCAGGCTGGAGTGCAGTGGCATGGTCACAGCTCATTGCAGCCTCGACCTCTTGAGCTCAGGTGATCCTCCCACTTCAACCTCGCTAATAACTGGAACCACAGGTGAACACCACCACACCTGGCTTATTTTTTGTATTTTTTGTAGAACCACGGTTTCACCATATTGCTCAGGCTGGTCTCGAACTCCCGGGCTCAAGTGATCTGCCGGCCTTGGTCTTCCAAAGTGCTGGGATTACAGGCATGAGTCACTATGTCTGGCTCGGCTGTTTTAATGAAAAAGCTGAGTATGCTGGAGAACTTGACGGAGGCAAACGCCTCAAAACTTGTATCTCTCTGTTGTGCCCAAGCGCCCAATTCACCATCTTACCTAGTCCCATGGATGGGTGCAGAGATGGCTGAAGGCACCACCCCAGGACTGCAGTGTGGAGTGGCGACAAAATGAAAGGGGACTTGGGGCTTGGGAACTCTCTGGATGGATGCTGGAGCTACAAAGAGGATGCAATGGCAATGCCAACCCTGAAGCCAGGGGCCAAAGAGAAATAAAAGCCTCCCAGCTGCACCCTGTGAGCTAGCCTGAGCTCCTGGCAGCTGTCGCTTCAGCTCCTAATGTGCACATACTAAACACCTTGGTTTGTTTTCCCATTAGGTAAAAAATCCCCCAAGTTCAACTGATAGGCTTTGAGCAAAGTTTGCAGTGGAGAAGGCAAATTAAGTAACCCTCCCTTGAGCCAATTCAGTGGCTTTCACTGCAAATGTGTTACTGGTTTTGATGCTCATACAGGCTTGTACTGCCAATGCCCGTAAATGTCAGATGGGATTCACCCTTTCAGAGACTGCTGCATGAGGAAAGGTGGTTCCTGAACCCTCTTAGACGGTCCAGGAGAAATAGTTTAGACTTTCAAGAGGGAGGCCGGGTGCGGTGGCTCACACCTGTAATCCCAGCACTTTGGGAGGAGGCCAAGGCCTGGATCACTTGAGGTCAGGTGTTTGAGACTAGCCTGGCCAACATGGTGAAACCCCATCTCTACTAAAAATGCAAAAATTAGCCAGGCGTGGTGGCAAGCACCTGTCATCCCAGCTACTCAGGAGGCTAGGCAGAAGAATTGCTTGAACCCAGGAGTCGGAGGTTGCAGTGAGCCAAGATCGTGCCACTGCATTCCAGCCTGGG